CCACCGATGCAGCACCACAGTTTCTTTAGAAACTTATCCCCTTTATTAAACATATTTAAGCTGAGAGTTCTTAAATAACTTCATGTGGACCGAGAGTAGGTTATACGGATTTAGTACGCAAAATTCAGTAAAATTAAGCTAACTTTCAAGATGTATCTAAAGGCCTTCAATTAGCCCACTTTGTGAAGTCTCCATACGGTGACGAACCCTGAAGACTAATTGATTTTCCGATAAAATAAAAAAGCATTACTGTCAAGCATTCAAGGGAGATATAAAAGTCGTCAGCTGCAAATGTAAGTAGCGTTGGTTTGGAGGTATTCTTGAGACGAACGTCAACGGCCTCATGTTTAAATTACAATGAGTTACTTGTCCTGGCTGCAATTTGTCTCTCCGCCAATAGGTGCGGAGTCTGCCTTCCTCGCGAACCTTCGCGGACCTTCGCAAACGTTCCCGAACCTGCTTGAAACATTCAATTATTACCATTTCCTTAAAAGTCCTCGGATGTTGTCACAAAAAATTGCCAAGGAAAATTTTGCTTAGGTTACTTCTAAATCAAAGTGGAAATTGACCCTTCAATTCCCATGAGTGACCAAGACAGAATTTCTCCTTACAATAACCATACAATATCAATCAGACAGGTGATGAGAATAATGAAAAAGATAAGTTTGAGGATTTTCTAGTTGATCCAGTACCAAATTCTCAGAACTAGCACCATAAGAATTGTATAGAAGACGGTAAGGAGAATTACCAATGAGATCTTGGGCACTGAAGGGTTAAGGAAACAAGAAACTGCTGAAGAAGCTGAGGACCCTCACTGCGTTATTCACAACTTCAAATGCTGATGTGCCTACAAAATGCATCGCGAAAACATGATAGCGTTGAGTCATCAATATGGGAAGCAGTTTAAACATATCCAGAAATTAGACGAGACAAACTTCAGGGATCCAAAATCCTTTGGTTACTCCAAAGGTGCCGTAATAATTTTTGACCTTTGTGGGTAAGAATTTTTATTTGTAATAGAGCTTCGACTATCACTTGAACTTTTACATTTCTATTCAACAGTTTCAAAATCCTCCTTTATTCCATGATAAACAACTCACTTCCTCCGTGTTTAATTATAAACATGCCGCACCGAATGCTAGATTACATTTCAAAGGGTCCGAAAACCCGCTTAGATATGCTGGCTGGGCAGCTGGAGTGAAAAAACACCAACCAAAGGCTGCAAGTGGATCTTCGGCAAACCACAAGGGCAATAGGCATAGCGACGCAGGGGAGACATGATTTGGATCAGTGGGTTACTAGATACAAGCTACAGTATGGTGATGACGGACAAACTTTCAGAGTTTACAAGCGAAACGGAGACATATCAGACACGGTATGAAAAAGTATGCGTAACTGAAGAAACCTTTTTGCGGGTAAAGAGTCCCATGAGGAACAGATCCCTTTTGTATTCTGTACTCTGATCCTTTTCCACTGAGCCACAAAGCAGTTACGCTAGGCTGGGCCATATACTCTCTGCCATTGAACCTACAGAAAAGCATTCACGAAAGTTATTGGGTAAGAGTAACTCGTACTGTAAAAAGAAAAAAACGTACACTCGTTAATTTTACGACCAAATATATTCTACTCAGGTTTTGTCAGGAAACAAAGACAGAGACACAGTAGTTTACCACGATCTTAACCCGCTCATCTATGTTCGCTATGCTCGAGTTCTTCCCATGGAATGGAAAGGGACGATCGCTATGAGGATTGAGCTTTATTCTTGTTAAGGTAACCTACTGGTCCAATTGTGTAGCAATGGCCGAGATTTTTGTAAGAAACGTATTCTGGGAGACGGAAGGTGTGCGTTGGGGGTAGGGGTAAGCTGTAATGGACTGACATTACATTTAACCTTTTAGCTCCCAAGATCTTCATTCTAATTCTCCCGTCTAGCCGCTACACATTCCTTGCAAATCAGGAACAAGAATTAGGTGTTAGATCAGGATAACAACTTTTACCTAATAAGTTTGAATATTCTCGTCACCTGTTTGCTATAGATATCTATGGATATTTTAGGGAAAAGTTTCAAGTTAATCACTGGGAGTTAAAAGGTTAAGAGCGCTAGCAGTGCCAGTTGCCCTTTGGGTTTTGCGCGTGATTGTCATATGTCATCGATAGAGCTCACGCATTTCACATAACATCCCCAACACTTTTTTTTTTTTTACTGAGATACATTATTTCTTTTTGATAGAAAACTTAGTTCTCTTAACTTGTTTAGAAGTACGAGAGTCACAACTGAAGGGAAGAATTCACGTTTTCGGCGTTAGATTGCACTTGTAGTGTCACATGACTTGTGATGTAAACAAACTGCGAAAGTTTGGACTTTGAGTCCACCACCCACTGCTCGAGTCCGAGCCTTGGCTTCGGCATTTTGTCGTAAATAGTTTCCCTCTGTCGAGCCATGGAATAATAAAAAACATTCTATGTACTGATGTTTATCTTCTCAGGTATTTTCAGGGCGTTAAGCGCGTTGATTGTCAAATGAAATCACGTCTGATAGGAAATTAGTGCCAACGAATCGCAGTAGAACGTGAGTAAGCCTGCATTCCCACACAGAATTTCGTTTCATATCGCATTGCATGGAAATTTTTTATGTAACGCAAGAGGGAAATTCTGCGAAATCCAGTTCAACCTTCAGGAGCGGTTGTAACTTAGAATGGCAGATCACATAATTAGAGACGATTTCAACGCTTTGAATGTGGTAAAAGCTGAAAAATATACGCAGAAACGGGGACTTTCAGAGAGCGGATATTTGAAGACTTCGTTTGTGGAAATCGCCTCTGCAGTCGAAAAAATGGTTCTATTAGTGTGTCCAAATTTCGAAAAAGACGACGCCACTACTTCAGACAAGTCAATAATTCATGATGTGTTTATTCTCAATCTACTCATTATTTATACTCATAATCTACTCTTAACTTCGGCGAAACACTTCTTTAAGGTATGCTTAAATTGTAGAAATATCTTCTCCGAAGAAGCACGGGCTGAGAACTTAAAGGTGTTTTATGACAGTACACGACATTCATCGTATGTTCACTTTATCTTCTCTGTGAGTAATAAATGAAGTTTTAATTTGACTACAAAGTTAAGCAACATTAATAATTAAAAATTTAAAATAATTTGTTTGTGACAGAGAACCTCTGAAGACTATACACTATGCTGAGTTAAGGGGCTACCACATGCCAGAAGACAACCTTAAAGAGCTTTTTCCTGGCTTTTCTGGCGATCGAGTTCGGTAATGTTTTCTGGCTATACACCACGCTAAGCTGAGTCCAGGTTTTGCAGCAACGCCTAAGACGATCTTCACGAGTCCTCAAGATCCAGCCTGGACCCTACGTGCAATGAGTGTTTAAGGCAGTGGTAGCTCCGACGAAGAAGAGCCCTTTAACACTCCTCGAGATGCTGAAATTCTTCATTTGTACAACACGGCAATGTCAAAATTAGCAATATCAAGTTCATCTGCAGACAACTTCTCCCCCTTAACATCTCGCCTAAAGACATCATGGGAAAATATTACCGAACTCGATCGCCAGAAAAGCCAGTAAACAGAAAGATAAAAGAAAAGTAATCAAAAATACCCAAGAAGACAAGCACTGTAAAATAAGACAATTTTTATGACAAAGAAATCCTCCTAAAGTTGTGTGTTTTATTCTTACGTGAACCTATCGGTACAGATATATCAAACAACTGAAACACCTCCTTGGCCATGGCAGGGTTGATCACGTCACGACTTTTGACTCTGGTGGGTGGTCCTTTGTGCCCTGGATACTGACACAGCTTTGAAGGGCCTCCAGCACTTGTCCATACCATAGCGATGGCGAGCACAAAAACGTAATGTTTTCACTTCTTCATGACACAAACGGTCGAGGCCAGCCCTTTGCAAGATGACCTCGTATTCTTTAAGATTTGCGCGCGAGAAAAAACAAATTTTAGATGTGTAGTTACATCATCTTGACATTCATACAGAAACACCGTCTCCGTGCGACCACGTGAGGATCCGCAGTCCTGACAAAGAACAGGCTTCTGCCATGATTACCAGGTTGTTTCTATTTTTACGTCCGCTGACCCCTGTAAGCGCTGACCCGTAACGTCCGTTGGAATGTAGCGAAATACGCGCAGCCCACCAACGTACTAACTGGACACTATCTGAGGCTAATTTTCACCTGAATTCATCATTATTCATGTCAATAATAAAAAATTGTTTCACTTTAGGATTTTTGGCGGCGGAAGAGTTGTTTTTTTACTTATATTTTACGCATTTGCTTGGATTCCGCCGTAGTTTGGAGAAATGAGTGCTGTCACGCGATAACATTTCCAAGATTCAACTCTGCGGTGATCGCTAATAGTTGACATCAGGACATCACAAGAAGCAACTAGGTTTTCGTTTGTGGTCATTACAACGTCAATCAAGGATTCGCTATTCTTTTTAACTCTAGTTGGTTTGTTGATTGGCTGTGTAAGATTAAAGGTCGAACAAAATCCATGAGGACGCCAGACTCCATATTATCTCGAAGGAGGTTCCAGCTGAGATCACCCAGTATGATGACATCGAGTCCTAGTAAAAAATACTCCTGATGACATTTTCAGCAAGATCATCCAGGAAGTTTAATGGTGTGCTCGGCGGACGATAAACTGTACAGATAAGGAATGACTTTGAGCAGCGACTTTTGCACTTTCAGCCATAATTGTTGGAAGCCATTATCAGAGACAGATGATATTTTCTCCATCGGAGATACTTTGAAATTTTCCTTAATGTAAACACAGACCGCCACCGGGTTTTTGTGGGCCGCGATCGCGATCGCGATCGCAATTTTAAAGACGCCCACTTCTTCAGTGGATCGATACTTAAAATAGATAAGACACATTGCTTTAGAAATTGAGTGTAAATAGCTTCTTCGTCATATTCGAGTTCTTTTCCTTCCTCAGGAGGGTAAACTCCTCTGTCGTTTAACTCACACGTTCCCTCAGTTTTGGAAACTTTTTTTGAAATTTGTTGAAACGCATCGAGGGTTTCTCTGACATTGCAAACCACAGGATATCAGGCTTGCCGTATGAAATGTTTTGGGCGCAAAGCCTTTAAGTCGGCGATGATGATGAGTTATCACAGGACAAGAAAGAGATGCATCCTTACAAAGAAATGCTTGAAAGGCTACGACTTCGGACATGAATAACACGAGTGATTCAACACACACAAAAAATTCATTTCGGTTTTTTTTTTTGGTGGAGACTTTGCTTTCAGCCTTTTAACAACCTCTGGAGGATTTTAAATAGTTGAAAGGAGTTCAGAGATGTTCTTCTAATGTTTTTTCTTTCCAATTATAATCAAGTGGACGGGTAAATTGAAGGATGCTCTGAGAGCTGAATAAAAGAATGATTATATTTTAATCGTTCATTAAACTTAAAACGAAATATTTGTTCTTGCGAAGTGTTAATTTCGTCAGCCATTTCTACCGGAATAAACACTGAAATATATCATCTTCTTCAAGGAATGATAAAATAAAAACAAAACAAAACTGTCAATTTCGCCTTCCCTTAAAATTCAAATCTAGTTTATCAGTTGTTTTCCGCCATTTAATGTTCCGGTCAACTCTAGAAGCTTCATTGCTGATGTGAAGTTAATAATTTATACTCACTTAAAATTTCAGATCCACTTCATCAATTGTTATCATTCAAATGTTGTTGTTGTGAACTATAGAAGCATCAATGCAGTTGCTGAAATGGTAATTGGTATTTGGCAGTTTCCTTATAATTCATTCAGCATTTATTGTCTTAAAAGAAAAACTCTCTTTGTAACCAACACTTATTCTCATAAATAAAACACTCTTTGTTGTAAACTACGCATAGCCAGTTACACTCGAGTTGAGGATAAGTGCGGTTCTACTTCCAGTCATATTCTGCAAAAAAGAACGGCTCATCTCTCTTAACACTCGACATCTCATTGGGTTGCCACAAATGAAAACTATTTTCTCTCATAGCGCTATAACTTACATAATAGCCGACTATCAGGATTCACCTTCAAATCTCATTATGTAAGCTTAGCATCCTACGGTTTGCAATGTCAAAGAAGTTCTCGATTTCCCTAAAATTTCAAGTTTCAAAATAGCAACAGGAATCTGTGATATGAACGACAGAGGAACTTTGATACCTCAATAACGAAAAGAAATTCATATGAAGAGGACGCGGTTTATAACTAATTTGAATATAAAATCATTTTACAGCAACAGTCGGTATGGCTTTTTTTTCACTAGGAAGAATAACAATACAAAGCCAAACCTGTGGTCATGTCTTCTGCAGTTGCAAATGTTGTATGCGTGAGTTTAATCCTTATTCAATAACAGCAATGAGACAAAGTTTAAAATTGAGCTCTCCAATAATACAATACGTGCACTGTCAAAATGACATTAAAGTTTACGTTAGTCCAAATTGTAACCCGGCTCAGCGAATGTAAAAGTAACCAGAAATAAAATCAAAATGCGCCGATATCGCAAACACCTTCAGAGCTTTTCTTGACCTTCAAAGACTACGTCATATCCCGCCATGAGTGAAATGCTCTTGGCGGACAAAGCCATGCTTACAAGCCGCGTTCCTGTAGTGGAGTGGTTATCACGTCCGCCTTATACACGAAGAATTGCAGGTTCGAATCCTACTAGAAACACGTGTCACAATTTGATTTATGAAGAAACTATAATATCAGATTCCTCCATTGCAAAAATTCCAGGACTTTCAATGATTTCGTGATGGGTTTATGTGTTTCCATAAATCTCTCATGGCCATATTTGCTCTAAAAAGTCGAAACCTTTAGGGTTGTAATAACTTCCTTTATTGTGCGATTATTTCTCAACAATTCCTGAGCGTTAAATCTGACTATTTGAGTCACATTTACTCGCAAGGTTCATTTGCTTACAAATTTAATTAGGGGTACATACTTTATTCAACAATTTTATCAGTTACAACTGCTAAAAACGTCTTAACGGCATGCAAACTCGTCAAAGGTTTCTTGTCGCTTAATGAACACACGTGTCACTTTCCTACGAAACAAGATTTATTACTTTGTTAAAGTGGTTAAGAGAGTATGATGTATTATACATTTTCATGAGAGATTGGTTTGTTTTCACCATCGGTTCTCGTTAGGCACTGAGGTTGATTGAACACGAGTCTCCAAAAGAGCACGTTCGCTCGTTCTTTTTTACAGGTGCGTCTTAATGTGCTGCCATTGGTGCATATCCCTCACATTACGAATTATAACGACTATTAAGTTAAAACGACCAATAATTAATTAGTCAGCGAATCAAGCTGCTGCTGTACTTTGTAATCCACAAACAAAAATCATTTTGGATTAGTCATAGAAGGGATTGACTTGCAGTGATGTTTCTTGCAAACAGCTGTTATTCTATATGAAAAATAAGGAAACAAAAATAGTAATAACAAGCATGTAAAAGATAGTTTCTGGTCGTTTTTTTTCTCCATTCCCCTGCCTTAACCGTCAGACTTCCAGGGTCTGATTGATAATTTACCTTTTCGGCGTTAGATTTCACGTGTAGTGTCACGAGACTTCTAGTGGTTACGATACGCAACAAACGATTATCGAATAGTCGATAATCTTCAAATGATTTATAAGCGGCGAGTCCTCGCCTGACTCGGTGGAGTTGTAAATCATATGATTAAAAATATTCTTCAATCCAAACGGCTGCGAAGCGTTAAAATTGTTCACAGTCGTCAAAAAAACTAGATTGAGAATAAACATATCATGAATTATTGATTTGCCTGAAGTAGTGGCGCCGCCTTTTTCGAAATTTGGACACACTAACAGAACCCTTTTTTTCGACTGCGGAGGCGATTTCCACACACAAAGTTGTGAAATATCTGCCCACTGAAATGCCCCGTTTCTGTAGATATTTTTAGGTTCTACCCCATTCATAGCGTTGAAACTGTCTCAAATTTTGTGATCTGCTATTCTAAGCTGCAACTCCTCTTGTAGATTGAACTGGATTTGGCAGGATTTCCCCTTTGCGTTACATAAAACATTTCACGCAATACGATATGAAACGAAACTCTGTGAGGGAATCCAGGCTTGATCACGTTCTACAGCGATTCGTGGGCAATAATCTCCTATCAGACGTGGTTTCATTTGACAATCAACGCGCTTAACGCCCTTAAAATACCTAAGAAGATACATCACAGTACATAGAATGCTTTTTTATTTTTTCATGGCGCGACAGAGGGAACCTATTTACGACAAAATGCCAAAGCCGAAGTTCGGACTCGAGCCATGGGTGGCATGGTTTACTCAAAGTCTAAACTTTCGCGGTTTGTTTACATCACAAGTCACGTGACACTACAAGTGCAATCTAACACTGAGAAGGTTAATTCTTCCCTTCAGTTGTGACTTTTGCACTTTAAACAAGTAAAGAGATTTGGTTTTCTATCAAAAACAAATAATGTATTTCAGTAAAAAAAAAAAAATAGGTTGGGGATGTTATGTGAAATGCGTAAGCTCTATCGATGACATCTTACAATCATGTGTAAAACTCAAAGGGCAACTGGCCTTAAATCGGGGCTCGCTTTGGTTTCTGAGCACTGCTAGCGCTCTTAACCCTTTAACCCTCATAAGTGATTAACATGAAACTTTTTCCTAAAATATCCATACATATATCTTGCAAACAGGTGATGAGAATATTCAAACTTATCAGGTAAAAGTTGTTATCCTGATCTAACACCTAATTCTTGTACCTGATTTGCAAGGAATGTGCAGCAGCTAGACGGGAGAATTAGCATGAAGATCTTGGGAGCTAAAGGGTTAAATTTAATGTCAGTCCATTACAGCTTACCCTTACCCAACGCACACCTTCCGTCTTCCAGAATACGTTTTTCACAAAAATCTCGGCCATTGCTACACAATTGGATCAGTAGGTTACCTTAACAAGAATAAAGCTCAATCCTCATAGCGATCGTCCCTTTCCATGCCATTGGAAGAACTCGAACATAGCGAACATAAATGAGCGGGTTAAGATCGTGGTAAACTACTGTGTCTCTGTCCTTGTTTCCTGGGAAAACCTGAGGAGAATATATTTGGGCGTAAAATTAACGAGCGTAAGTTTTTTATTTTACAATGCGAGTTACTCTTAACTTATAACTTTCGTAAATGCTTTTCTGTTGGCTCAATGACAGAGAGTATATGGCCCAGCCTAGCGTAACTGCTTTGTGGCTCAGTGGAAGAGAATCAGAATGCAGAATACAAAAAGGTTCTATTCCTCATGGGGACTTTTTCTCCGCAAAAAGGTTTGTTCAATTAAGCATACTTTTTCATACCGCGTCTGATATGTCTCCGTTTCGCTTGTAAACTCTGAAAGTTTGTCCATCATCGCCATATTGTAGCTTGTATTTAGTAACCCACTGCTCGAAATCATGTCTCCCCTGCGTCGCCATGCCTATTACCCTTGTGATTTGCTGAAGATCCACTTGCAGCCATTGGTTAATGTTTTTCACTCCAGCTACCCAGCCAGCACGTCTAATCGGGTTTTCGGATCCTTTGAAATGTAATCTAGCATTCCGTGCGGCAAGGTTATCATTATACACGGAAGAAGCGGTGATCTGTGAGTCAAAAATAGCACCGCTCTCCATGCCGAGGGGAACTGGGGCTTTTAGTGATTCCGCACCTGAAATTGAGACAGAGAAATGACATTGATTTGTTTATCATGGAATAAAGGAGGATTTTGAAAACGGTTGAATAGAAATGTAAAAGTAAGTGTAGTTTCACCTTTCTACTTTATCTCAAGCATTATAACGAAAAAAGTTTGATCAAGATAAAAACTTTCGCGTGAGTTAAATCTCTCCGACTTACAAGTGATGGTCGAAGCTCTATGCCAAATCAAGATTCGTACCCAAAACGGTTAAAATTTACTACGGCACCTTTGGAGTATCCAGAGGTTTTTGAATCACTGGTGTCTATCTTGTCTCATTTCTGGATATGTTTAAATTGCTCCTCATGTTGATGACTCAACGCTATCATGTTTTCGCAATGCATTTTGTAGGCACGTCAGCATTTGAAGTTGTGAATGACGCAGTGAGTGTCCTCGGCTTCTTCATCAGTTTCTTGTTTCCATAACCCTTCAGTGCCCAAGATCTCATTATTAATTCTCCTTACTGTCTGCTATACGACTCTTATGATGCTAGTTCTGAGAATTTGGTACTGGATCGACTAGAAAATCCTCAAACTTATCTTTTCCATTATTCTCATCCCCTGTCTGATTGATATTGTATGGTTATTTTAAGGAGAAATTCTGTCTTGGTCACTCGTGGGAGTTAAGGGCTTGATTTCTACTTTAATTTAGAAGTAACCTAGGCAACAGTTTTCTCAGCAATTTTTTTGAGAGCATTCGAGGACTTTCAAGGAAACTGTAAGAATCGAAATGTTTCAAGCAGGTTCGGGGAATGTTTGTGAGGGTCCGCCGAGGTTCGCGAAGACGACAGACTCCGCACCTTTTGGCGGAGAGACACAAGAAGCAGCAGGGACAAGTAAATCATTGTAATTTAAACACGAAGTCGTTGACTTTAACCTCAAGAACACCTTTCAAACCAACGCTACTTACATTTGCAGTTGACGACTTTTAAATCTTCCTTGAAGGCCTGAGAGTGTTGCTGAAAACAAAAAATCATTCATTTTTTTATTTTATCGGGAAATCAATTAGTCTTCCGGGTTCATTACCGTATGGAGACTGCAAAAGTGAGTTAATTGAAGGCCTTTAGATACATCTTGAAAGTTTTAGCTTCAAGCTGAATTTTGTGTATTAAATCCGTATGACCGTATCAACTTAAGATATATTTAACTTTATTGAGCTTCGGAGCAGTTTGCAGATATTGACTCCAATGATACCAAGATTTAAATTCCCACTTAGGAAAAATTTCTCATTTTACTTTAAACGACAGTACAACATTTTGATTATCAGCACTCAGTGAAATGTGGTCCATTCGCCTTTTTACCCGCATACACGTCAAACTACTTTAGGACCAAACGATAAAAACATTCAAAAAAAATATGACAGATGGAAAGTTTTCACATCTGTCGTCGAAATATGAAGATTTTATGAGAAGATACCACGAATGAAAGACAAGTGCCTCGAGGAATCAATAACATCTCCTTCTTGGTCTTTTATCAAAATTTTTTTGTTACCTTCGTGTCGTAAAATTGAGCGTAAATCGCCTCTTCGTCGTATTCCAGTTCGTTTCCTTTCTCAGTAAGGAGAACTCCTCTATCGTTCAACTCACAGGTTCCCTCACTTTTGAAAAAGTTTCTGAAATTTGTCGAAACGCATCGAGGGTCTCTCTGACATAGCAAACCACAGGATATCAGGCTTGCTAAGTGAATTGTTTTGAATGTGAAGCCTTTAAGTCGGCGATGATTGTAAGTTATCACAGGACAAGAAAGAGACGCTTCCTTAGAAACAAGTGCTTGAGATGCTACGACTTCGGACATTAATAACACGATAAGTCCAGCACACAGAGTAAAATTCATTTTGATTTTCTGGTGATGACCTCGTCTAAGGTATGCTTAATCCTCAGCTTTGAAAGTCGCAGGCGTTTTCATCAGAAGTCAGCCAGGGGACGACATTGAATAATTTAAATGAAAGTTGAAGATTTTAATTATTATCTATCCAATCATAGCCGAGTCGACTGGCTAATTGAAAGGATGCACTGAAAGCTGGATAACAGTACGATTTCAATCATTGATTAAATGTGAAAGAAGATGACATTTCCGAGTCAAGTAACAATCTCGTCTGCCGTTTCTGCCTGAATAAACAAAGATCTTATTTGATTCAGAGATTTAAAATAAAAAATGACCCTGCCGTCTGTAAAATTTTTCTAGTTTGTCAGTTGTTATCTTATAGATTTTCCTGTTAACTATAGACTCCTCGATGTAGTTGTTGAGATACTAATATTGTTATCTACCGTAGAAGTTTCTGAATAATTTATTGAGTACTTGACCACACTTCCCGCAGACAAAATATACTCAGTTGCAACTGAGTTGGAAATACTTACTAAATTACTAAATTATTTAGAAACTTCTAGATACCAGTTATTATGTCAACAACTACATCAAGGCATCACAAATTTGAAAGCAAATAAAACTGCATTAATTTTCAACTCAGTTGTAACTGGACATATTTTGTCTGCGAGAAGTGTTCTGTTTGCTTTCAAATTTGTGATGTCTAAACTCTGAGCATTTCGTTTCGTTTCCTTCGATGAAAACTATTTTGTTTCATCACGCTATAACTCACAGCCATATGTATCGCCTGATCGCCGATTATCAGTTGTTATCACTTAAATGTTCTAGTCAACGATAGAAGCCTTGATGCAGTTGTTGACTGAAAAGGCTTGGACAATAAAGAATTTCCTATAAAAAGGTTTCGCTGTATTACAAATCAAGATTGACCTGTTTTTTTTTTTAAGAGAGCTGGGCGAGAAAGCCCACGTGGGTATTTTAGTTATGTTTTCTTTGTTTTAACCTGCCTCTGCCGAGTTTTTGCGACTACATCGCCAACATTGTGATGGGCCATCTTGCCCGCTTAGGTAGCCAATCAGAGAACAGGATTCGCTTCACACTGCCCACGGGCACTGCCAGCGATATGATAACAAATCTTAGCGACTTCTTCTGATCAAATAAATGATAAGGTAATTTGGTTTCATCAACTGAGTCGATAACGCAAATTTGCAACAGTAAGAGTTTCAAAGCTGACGTTCGAGCGTTAGCCCCTTGTCAGAGCGAGAGACGAGAAACAATGATAATAACTGCACACGGACTATGCATTGATCTGCGAGTCAGTAATAACTACACTTTCCATAACCAGGGAAACTGAGCCTTTTGGTGATTCTTCACCTGCATTTTGGACAGAGAAACACAAACACACATATTCACAAGTTTACTCCTAATGACTGCAGATGTTTTCAACATTTGAACAGAAGTATAAAAATCAATGCAGTTTGAAGTTTCGATTTCGTCCTAAGGATCCAAATTAGAAAACATTTAACAGATAAGAACTCTCCGTATATTAAAAGTCTCTGAACTTCAAGTGATGGTACAAGTTCTTAAATGTCATCTCGTATCCCGGACGGTAATAAATATCGTGGCACCTTCGGAGTATCCAGAGGTTTTTACATAGGGATTGCCTTGTACAATCTCTACATGTGTTTAAAGTTATCGCGTTCAAGTTTTGCAATGCGTTGGCGGAGGCACAGACTACATTTGAAATTATGAATGAGTTTTAACTGGGAAAATACGGATCTTCAACGTCTTAGAGAGCTTCTTATTTTCTTCATCTTTTTGTTTTGTTCAGAAATGACCCTCGCAGTATTTTCCCGCGCATTCTTTTTTCTTCTTACACCACATTCGAGGGCTTTGAAGGTACTAGATAAGGTCCAGAATGGTTCGGGGAGGCTCACCATGATGGGAGAGTCCGCACGTATTGACGGGAGGCCTCTTGACACAAAGACAAGAGGCAGCTGAGATGAGTAACTCCTAAGTGATGTAAGTAGCTGAGATGAGTAACTCCTAAGAGATGTGAGTGCAGGATCTTAGAAATTAATTTTAAGATTATTTTTCTACTCAGCCCTACTTACATTTGTAGCTGACGACTTTAAACTCTTCCTTGAAAACCTGACCGTTGTGCTGCTCAGATATGAAAATATTCATTTTTTTCTATCAGGAAATCAATTAGTCATCTTGGTTAATTATCAAATAGAAAATCGACTTTCAAGTATTAGCATAAAGCTAAAAACGTCATTTTTTTTGTCTCAAATCATTAACTTTACCTTCATTCAGTCCACGAAATTATTTAAGAAGACCAAACTCAATTAACTCTAACTGCATTGTTCTTCGGAAGACTTTGCAAGTATCATTTCTCCAAAGATACCGAAAATGGTAAAAATCAATATTCGCGGTAACGCCGCTAACTATTCTCCACTCGCGTTTATCAATAGACTGATGAAAACCCGACATTGCACCATAGTATAACATGATAAGGATCTAGGGATAGGCACATTACCAAGACAGATAAGACAGATGGTAAATTTGTACTTCTAACGTGGGAAAGATAATTATTTTACCAGAAAGATGTCACGAATAAAACTGAAATAAAATAAAAACTCAGGTCAGAAGTTTTCGTGTTCTGATCTTCCACTACCGCCAAACAGAGAATCTATCAGTAAGCTTAGTCCCCGATCGTAGCTTTTCCATCTTCTATTTAGATGTGTTCCGGTAGATAGACACATACACACTTGATGCCCACTACTTGTGAGGATCATTACTTAAAATAGATAAGACAAATGTTTGTTACCTTTTTCCCATATAATTGAGTGCAAATAGCTTCTTCGTCATACTCCAGTTCTTTTCCTTCCTCAAGAGGGAAGACTCCTCTGTCGTTTAAATCACAGATTCCCTCAGTTTTGGAAACTTTTCTGAAATTTGTCGAAACGCATCGAGGGTTTCTCTGACATAGCAAACTACAGGATATCAGGCTTGCAAAGTGAAATTTTTTGAGTGTGTTAATTACGTCAGTCGTTTCTCTATTAAGACTAGACTAAGACTATTGTGAAAGGCGCCAACATGGCTGCCACGTTTTCTGGAGCTCTTCGCCTATCTACCATTTTTGGTGTTCTTTTCGTTTTAAATGCTGCCCAAGAATGCTACAATTGTCACTATAGGAGGGCTGAAAGTCCTTGGCTTTTCAAACATATTTTATCCAAGTTTACTACTCCTAAATTTAGAGTTCGCCGGCCGGTGGTGTTGTGGGGCGTCCATGGTCTAACCTTGCTTGCAGTACCGGAGAAATATATCACGCTAGATATCACTATAGATATGGACGTAGAGTCACAACCGGGTCCAGAGATAGACAGGAGTTTCGGAGGAGTTAATAAGAACTACCCGATGTTAATGCGAACTAAGCCAGCGTCTTTGAAATGCTCTGAACTCTTGTCTCTCCGAAACAAAGCTTTCAAGCCATCTCCGGCCGTTCTATCTCAGTTCAAGTCACTCGGCATTCTGAAATACCGTGGGCAACATAGTGCTCGAATCTCACGATCCATCTCAACCAAGAAAATCCCGGTGATGCAAGGCCGCCGTTTCATCAAGGCTGAAGGTCAGAAAGTGGATCGGAGTAACTTAATTAACATTCCGCGTGTCAACACAACCGACAAAACATCCACCTCTAAATCAAAGGGTTTCGCTGTCCCAAAATGTTTGTTTACGAACATTTGTGGTTTGTCGAAAACAAAAAATCGTGTACGAGCACCTGTGGCGCTTGAGGCTGACCTGAGATCTCAGGATATTGATGTGTGTATTGTCAGTGAAACTCATCTTTCCACTAATATGCCGGACGCCGTGGTGAATATCCCAAATTACAATGTGTTCAGGCGGGACAGAGGTTGGGCAGACTTGGACAAAAGGAAAAAAGGGGGTGTTGCGATCTATGTGAGAGACAGTCTTAAAGTCTTGGATGTCTATCGGTCCAATTTATATGAATTTATTGCTTTAACAGTGCAGTTGCCGTCCGATCACATTATGCTAATTTGCGGCCTGTATAATCCTCCCAAGCATAGCTACCGGGATCTCGACTTGATTAATTATATAATATCCTTTGTGGACATTGTGTTGAACAAACACCCAGAAGCGGCTATTGTCTGTGGTGGCGATGTAAATCGTTTGGATATGCAAGAATTTAAGGCTTTGTCTGGCTGGGATTTCGTGGTTGATTTTCCCACGCGGGGTAACGCGTGCTTGGATAACTGTATGACCAACCGAGCGGATCTGTTCGGTCAAGCATATTCCATATATATGCTTATTAAGACAGACCATGAGGGCTTTGTTTTACCGGCGGGATTAAAGCTTAAACCTATGCGCCGCAAAGTTCTCGTGCGGGACTGTAGGGAACATCGGAAACAGTCATTTTATATGGCACTCACTGCGCTGGACTGGAGTGACGTCCTCAATGAGGTGGACATAAACAAGGCGGTCGAGGTGCTTGAGGTAAAGATTCGTGCAGTGATGAATAAGTTTATGCCGCAAAAATCTGTACGCATGTCATCGCGTGACCCAGTTTGGATGTCCCCATTAGTCAAGTGTATGCTGAGGACTAAGTCCCATATATCTTTAAAGAATAAGGAACGCCTGTCTTTATTTAATAAGCGCATTTCTGAGCTGATAACCGAGAACAGAAGAAAACTGGCTGCCATTGGTAGCGGTGAGTGGTGGAAGGGCGTGGACGCCCTATCGCAGCGTCGCAGGTCATCGTTGATAAATTTGGACAAGAACTCTCTAGTTCGTCTGAACGACTACTTCGCCAACCTGTGCTATGATGACACTTACGTTAGACCTAGTGATATGGATATCCCGGACAGTGTAAAGCCCCCGAAAATATCTGAGCGGTGTGTCTGGAATACCTTAGTTCATGTAAAGAAAACCGCAACGGGACCAGACGACCTCCCGTACTGGATCTGGAAAGACTGTGCTGAGCTACTCACACCAATCGTCACTCACGTTTGGAATCTGTCGCTGTCTACTCATACATGGCCAGACTCCTGGAAAAGGGCAAATGTTAACCCTCTCCCCAAAGTGAACATGCCTATAGAGGACTCGGACTACCGTGGTATTAATGTTACTCCCGTTATTGCCCGGTTGTTTGAGAAGGTCGTGTATCGTACACAAGCACAGTCAGTCATTGAGAGCAACCTGAGCCACACCCAATTTGCATATAGACAGGCGGGTAGTTGCACAAATGCCTTGCTCGCTATCCAGCACCAGACATACAAGTATTTAGATAGTAGTGACTATAGCGCAGTGCGAATTTTTACCATGGACTTCAGTAAGGCTTTCGATTTTGTGAACCATGCTATTTTGTCTGCCAAACTGAAACAGCTACCTCTAAATCCGTACATTATCAATTGGTATCATAGTTTCCTCTATGCAAGACAACAGCGTGTTGTTAGTTATAATTTTTTAGGACAGTGGAAACTTGTCAATAGAGGAACCACACAAGGTAGTGTAAGCGGACCGTATCTTTTTAATATATTTTTGAACGATTTGGAGATTTTTTTTAATGGTTGCCCTGTGCTTTTTAAATATGCCGATGATTCCACTATTCTTTCGCCTATCACTAGGAATAGTGACCCGTCTGCCGACTTAGTAGGACAGTTCTTAACATGGTGTAAAGACAATAGAATGGTCTGCAACCCTTGCAAATGTAAAGAGCTGGTTGTTAGAAAGAAAAATCATAATGTACTCTACTCTCCAATTAATAATATTCCCCAATGTAATAGCTTCGTTTTATTAGGAGTAACTTTACAGAGTGATGGAAAATTTGATGAGCATGTAAGAACTAAACTTGTCAAAGCAAACAAGTGTTTACACGTCCTACGAACATTGAGAAAGGAACATTACTCTCAGGCAGAGATTGATCATCTTTTTTATATCGATTGTTTTGGCTAATTTTAGCTATGCACTTTCAGTCTATGGGGCATCTGAGTCCGATCTTACGGTTGTACAAAAATTTTAGACCGATGTCATGAACGCGGTTTTATCTCATTTCCAGTTTTTATCAAGAACCTTTTAAACAAACAAGACAGAAACATTTTGAAGAAACTAAAATCAACGGATTGCCACCCCTGAAAGATATCATTCCTGTCCAAAAGACATATCTACACAATCTCAGGAAAAAAAGGCTGCGCGCCCCGAAAATTAATACACAGCGCTTTATGAACACATTTGTAAATAGGTTGATATTTAAGCTCCATTTATTGTGATGATATACTTTTTAATTCATAATATGTATGTAGATTTCTGTAGTTTTTTCAATTCATTGTAACATAAGATATGTAGTTTTATCTTATGATGGAATAAAGACATTATTATTATTATTATTATTATTATTATTATTCTCTCGGAATAAACACTGAAATATATCACCTTATTCAAGGAATCAAAATAAAAAAACAAAGCAAAATGTGAGTTTCACTTTCCCTTAAAATTCAAATCTAGTTTATCAGTTGTTGTTATTTAAATATTCAGGTCAACTCTAGAAACCTCAATGCCGTTGTGAAGATAATAAATTTTAGATACACTATCAATTGCCATCATTCAAATGTTGTTGTGAACTATGGAAGCTTCAATGCCGTTGTTGAAATGGTAATTAGTATCCGGCAGTTTCTTTATAATTTATTCAGCATTTATTGTCTTAAAAGAAAAACTCGCTTCGTAACACTCTTTGTAGTAAACTACACATAGCCAGTTACATTTGATTTGAAGATAAATGTTATTCTACTTCCAGTCATATCCTGAAAAAATAAGCATCTCATCTTTCTAAACTCTTGGCATCTTATTGGGTTGTCGCAAATATGAACTTTTTTCTCTCATATCGCTATAACTTACATGTTAGCCGACTATCAGGATTCACCGTCAAATCTGTTATTCTGTAAGCTTGGCACTCTACGGTAAGTACACAAACGCTAAGAATCGGCATTGTGTGATAAATCTTCAAAGAGAGCATTGAGTAGGGAAAATTTGAAGTATACCAAAGCCGGATTCTGAACTAATTTTAAACAGCTTATATTAGCAATGCTGTTATATTCATTCAGAGTATATAGGAGCGTCCCCAATAGGTTCTCGGGATCTAGGATTGGACCTTTTTAAAGGCCGGGATCTGGGAATTTAGAGTAAGAGGGAAGCGAGATGCGGGATTGCTATTATGAACGGAACGCGGGAATCGGCGATTTTGAGGAGCGGGATTCGGGAAATAATCACTTCAAACGAACCGAGAACCGGGATGTCCGTTGACGGGAACATCTGAAGAAATTGATCTTCTCAGTCTACGAAAGCACCAGGCGCACAGCCTCACTAGCATTCAAGGGCACTCGGGCTGGTCAGTGAAACTCTTCAACCATTGCGCGGGACTGAAACTTCTATGAGAAGCGGAGTTGTTAGTTTACCAAAAATCCTCAATGGCCCCCAGGATAACGTGTTATCTAAGACTGCTGCGTCAACTGAAATGCCTAACGGACTTGAAAACCTCCAGAAAGTCTCAGAATTATGACACTCGTAACCTGTTGAGTTGCTTGGCACTAGACGGGGTGAATATTCGCTCGGTTGTGCATCAAAAAGATCAACTTTTCACCGTGTTAGATTACGCAAGAAACTTTGGAAATGCAGCAAAAGAAGTGCTATTTTTCAAATCCAAATTCTTGGTATCCTTCACTAAAACGTGCTATGATCCTGTCGGTCATTCCCGTAATTTAACATTTACCAACTGCACTGATGGCACCACAGAGCATACATAAGATGACGGGCTGGGCATAAACATTTGTTGCAGCGGCAAAAGTAAACACTATATTGTGTCAGCGCTCTGTCAGATAGGAAAAAACGATGGCCAGAGCTTGATCTACCCAGTTGAACCTCTATCAGAGATTCTTTTACTCTTAGGGACTCTTAATTTTTTTTCTTTGGTTCACCCTCACAGCAAGAATAGAAGGGAAAAACATCTTGCTCAAAAAGTCATTCTTATTTATACCGTGTCTGAAGTGTCTCCGTTTCGCCTGTAGATACTGTAAGTTTGTCCATCGTCGCCATATTGTAGCTTATATTTAGTAACCCACTGATCGTAATCATGTCTCCCCTGCGTCGCTATGCCTTTTACCCTTGCGGTATTCCGAAGATCCACTTGCAGCCATTGGTTGGTGTTTAGCAGATCAGCTTCCCAGCCAGCAGATACAAACGCCAATGGGGCTTTGGCCCCCTTGAAATGTAATCTACCATTCTGTGGGCCATGTGTATTATCATACACGGAAGATGCACTAATCTGCGAGTCAGTAATAACTCCACTTTCCATACCTAAGGGAACTGGGCCTATTGATGATTCTTCACCTGCATTTTGGACAGAGAAACTCAATCACACATATTGACAAGTTTACTACTAATGACTGCGGATATTTTCAACATTTGAACAGAAATATCAAAATCAGTGCAGATTATAGTTTCCATTTCGTCTCAAAGATCCAAATTAGAAAAAAAACTTAACGGATAAGAACTATCCGAATGTTAAAAGACTCTGAACTTCGAGCGATGGTCGAGGTCGTCTCATACCCAGGACGATAATTATACTGCGGCACCTTAGTAGGATCCAGATTTTTTTGGATAGGGATTGTCATGTAAAATTCCTAGATATGTTTAAGGTTATCGTGTTCAAGTTTCGCAATGCTTTGGCGTAAGCAAAGATTGCATTTGAAATTATGAATGAGTTTTATTTGGGAAATACGAATCTTACACGTCTTGGGGAGCTTCTTATTTTCTTCATCTTTTCTTTTTCTTTTCAGAAATAAACCTCGCAGTATTTTCCCGGTTAATCTTATTTTTTTAAACCACATTCGAGGACTATGAAGGTAGCAGATAAGGTCCAGAAATGGTTCACGAGGGTCATGACGATAGGAGACTCCGCAAGTATTGACGGGAGGCCTCTTGACGCAAAGACAAGAGGAGACTGAGACGAGTAACTCCTCAGTGATGTAAGTGCAAGATCTTAGACGTTAATTTTAAGAATATTTTATGTACTCAGCCCTACTTACATTTGCAGCTGACGAATTTAAATTCTTCCTTGAAAACCTGACAGTTGCGCTGCTCAGACATGAAAATATTCATTTTTTCTTATCAGGAAATCAATTAGTCATCTTGGTTAATCATCAAATAGAAACTCATCTATAAATTTTTAACCTAAGCTAAAAACTACAATTTTTTGTCTCAAATTAATGTTACCCTCTTTCAGTCCACAAAATTATTTGAGAAGACTCAACACAATTGTAATTCTAAACATTATTGTGCTGCGGAGGACTTTGCAAGTATCATTTCTCCAAAGATACTGAAAATTTGGAAAAAGGCCCATTTTATTTTTTAAGGCAACATTCGCAGTAACGACGCTAATCATCCATCATGAAAACCCGACATTGCACCATAATATAACTAGACGAGGATCAATGGATAGACACATTACTAAGTTAAGACAGATGTTGAATTTTTTACTTCTAACGTCGAAAAGATAAACATTACCATAAAGATGTCATGAATAAAATAAAATCTCAGGTCGGAGGATTTCGTGTTCTAATATTCCACTACTGCCCAACAGAGAATCCATCCGTAAGCTTATTCTCCTTTTCGTGACAAAGCGAAGATCGTAGCTTTTCCGTCTTTTTTTTTAGATGTGTTCCGGTAGATAAACAGATATGTACACTCTTTTTGAAGATGTCCACTTCATTGCAAGGATCAATAATTAAAATAGATAAGACAAATTTTTATTACCTTCTTCTTGTATAATTGAGTGTAAATAGCTTCTTCGTCATATTCCAGTTCTTTTCCTTCCTCAAGAGGGAAGACTCCTCTGTCGTTTAACTCACAGGTTCCCTCAGTTTTGGAAATTTTTCTGAAATTTGTTGAAATGCATCGTGGGTTTCTCTGACATTGCAAACTACAGGATAACAGGCTTGCCGAATGAAATGTTTTGAGCGTGAAGCCTTTAAGTCGGCGATGATTCCGAGTTATCACAGGACAAGAAAGAGATGCTTCCTTACAAAGAAATGCTTGAGAAGCTACGACTGATAACACGATTAGTTGAACACACAGAAGAAAATTCATTTCGGTTTTTTTTAAGTCGAGACTTTGCTTTCAGCTTTTTAACAGCTTCTGGAGGATTTTAAATAATTTAAAAGGAGTTCAGAGATGTTTTTTTAATATTTTTTCTTTCCAATTACAATCAAGTGAACGGGCTAATTGAAAGGATGCTCTGAGAGCTGAATAACCGAATGATTAATATTTTAATCGTTCATTAAAGTTAAAAAGAAATATTTGTTCGTGCGAAGTGTTAATTTCGTAAGCCATTTCTACCAGAATAAACACTGAAATATATCATCTTATTCAAGGAATGATAAAATAAAAAAACAAAACAAAACTGTGAATTTTGTCTTCCTTTAAAATTCAAGTCTAGTTTATCAGTTATTGTCCGCCATTTAAATGTTTCGGTCAACTCTAGAAGCCTCATTGCCGATGTGAAGTTAATAATTGATACTCACTTAAAATTTCAGGTCCACTTCATCAATTGTTATCATTCAGATGTTGTTGTTGTGACCTATAGAAGCATCAATGTAGTTGTTGAAATGGTAATTGGTATTTGGCAGTTTCTTTATAATTTATTCAGCATTTATTGTCTTAAAAGAAAAACTCTCTTTGTAACCAACAATTATTCTCATAAATAAAACACTCTTTGCTGTAAACTACGTACACATAGCCAATTACACTTGAGTTGAGGATAAGTGCGATTCTACTCCCAGTCATATCCTTCAAAAATAAGTGGCTCATCTCTCTTAACTCTCGACATCTCATTGGGTTGCCGCAAATGAAAACTCTTTCCTCTCATATCGTTATAACTTACATAATAACCGACTATCAGAATTGACCTTCAAATCTTTCATTCTGTAAGCTTAGCATCCTATGGTTTGCAATGTCAAAGAAGTTCTTGATTTCCCTAAAATTTCAAGTTTTAAAATAGCAACAGAAATCTGTGATATGAACGACAGAGGAACTTTGATACCTGATTGACGAAAAGAAATTCATATAACGAGGACGCAGTCTATACCTAATTTGAATATAAAATCATGTAACAGCAACTGCGGTATGATTGTTTTTTCACGAGGAAAAATAACAATACAAAGCCATCATTTGCTTGTGGCCACGTCTTCTGCAGTTGCAAATATTTTATGCGTGAGTTTAATCTTTATTCAATACACAGCAATGAGACAAAATTTAAAATTGAGCTCTCCGATAATACAACACGTGCACTGTAAAAATTACGTTAAAGTTTACGTTAGTCCAAATTGTAACCCGGCTCAGCGAATGTAAAAGTAACTAGAAACAAAATCAAAATTGAGCCGATATCGCAAACGCCTTCAAAGCTTTTCTTGACCTTCAAAGACTACATCATATCCCACCATGAGTGAGATGCTCTTGGCGGACTAAGCCATGCTTACAAGCCGCGTTCCTGTAGTGGAGTAGTTATCACGTCCGCCTTATACACGAAGAATTGCAGGTTCGAATCCTACTAGAAAAACGTGTTACAATTTTCAGGTTCGAATCCTACTAGAAACACGTGTTACAATTTGATTAATGAAGAAACTATAATATCAGATTCATCCATTGCAAAAATTCCAGGACTTTCAATGATTTCGTGATGGTTTGTTTCCATAAATCTCCCATAGCCATTTTTGCATTAAAAAGTCGAAACCTTCAGGGTTGTAATAATTATTTCTCAACAATTCCTGAACGTTAAATCTGACTATTTGAGTCACATTTACTCGCAAGGTTCATTTGCTTACTTACAAATTTAATTAGGGGTACATACTTTATTAAATAATTTGATCAGTTACAACTGCTAAACACGTTTTAACGGCATGTAAACTCGTCAGAGGTTTCTTGTCACTTTTTCCTTAATGAACACACATGTGTCTCTTTCCTACGATACAAGATTTATTGCTTTGTTAAAGTGGTGAAGAGAGTATGAGATATTATACATTTTCACTAGAGATTGGTTTGTTTTCACAATCGGTTCTCGTTAGGCACTGAGGTTGATTGAACACGAGTCTCCAAAAGAGCACGCTCGCTCGTTCGTTTTTACAGGTGCGTCTTAATGTGCTGCCATTGGTGCATATCCCTCACATTACGAATTATAACGACTATTAAGCTAAAACGACCAATAATTAATTAGTCAGCGAATCAAGCTGCTGTTGTACTTTGTAATCCACAAACAAAAATCATTTTGGATTAGCCATAGAAGGGATTGAATTGCAGTGATGTTTCTCGCAAACAGCTGTTATTCTATATGAAAAATAAGGAAACAAAAACAGCATTAACAAGCATGTAAAAGATAATTTCTGGTCGTTTTTCTCGATTCCTCTGCCTTCCAGGGTCTGATTGATAATTCACCTTTTTGGCGTTAGATTTCACGTGTAGTGTCACGAGACTTCTGATGCTTACGATACGTAACAAACGATCATCGAATAGGCGATAATCTTCGAATGATTTATAAGCGGCGAGTCCATGCCTGACGCGGTGGAGTAGTAAATCAAATGATTAAAAATATCCTACAATCCAAACGGCCGCGAAGCGTTAAAATTGTTCACAGTCTTCAAAAAACTAGATTGAGAATAAACATATCATGAATTATTGATTTGCCTGAAGTAGTGGCGCCGTCTTTTTCGAAATTTGGATACGCTAATAGAACCCTTTTTTTCGACTGCGGAGGCGATTTCCACACAAAAAGTTGTGAAATATCGGCTCACTGTTTCTGCAGATATTTTCAGTTTCTACCCCATTCATAGCGTTGAACCCGTCTCAAATTTTGTGATCTACTATTCTAAGCTACAACTACTCTTGAAGATTGAACTGGATTTAGCAGGATTTCCCCTTTGCGTACATAAAAAAATTCCACGCAATACGATATGAAACGAGATTCTGTGTGGGAATCCAGGCTTGATCACGTTCTACAGCGATTCGTGGGCAATAATCTCCTATCAGACGTGGTTTCATTTAACAATCAACGCACTCAACGCCCTGAAATTACCTGAGAAGATACCTCACAGTACAAAGAATGTTTTTTATTATTCCATGGCGCGACAGAGGGAAACTATTCACGACAAAATGCCGAAGCCGAAGTTCGGACTCGCGCCGTGGGTGGTTGATTTAAAGTCCAAACTTTCGCGGTTTGTTTACATCAGAGGTCACGTGACACTACAAGTGCAATCTAACGCCGAAAAGGTGAATTCTTCCCTTCAGTTGTGACTCTTTCACTTTTAAACAAGTAAAGAGAATTTGGTTCTCTATCAAAAACAAATAATGTATTTTAGTAAAAAAGATATAGGTGTTGGGGATGTTATGTGAAGTGCGTGCTCTCTATCGATGACAAATTACAAGCATGTGTAAAACTCAAAGGGCAACTGGCCTTAAACCGGGGCTCGCTTTGGTTTCTGAGCACTGCTAGCGCTCTTAACCTTTAACTCCCATAAGTGACTAAAATGAAACTTTTTCCTAAAATATCCCTACATATATCTTGCAAACAGGCGATGAGAATATTCAAACTTATCAGGTAAAGTTGTTATCCTGATCTAACATCTAATTCTTGTACCTGATTTGCAAGGAATGTGTAGCAGTTAGACGGGAGAATTAGGATGAAGATCTTGGGAGCTAAAGGGTTAAATGTAATGTCAGTCCATTACAGCTCACCCTTACCCAACGCACACCTTCCGTCTCCCAGAAAACGTTTTTCAAAAAAATCTCGGCCCATTGCTACACGACTGGACCAGTAGGTTACCTTAACAAGAATAAAGCTCAATCCTCATAGCGATCGTCCATTTCCATGCCATCGGAAGAACTCGGACATAGCGAACATAAATGAGCGGGTTAAGATCGTGGTAAACTACTGTGTCTCTGTCCTTGTTTCCTGGGAAAACCTGAGTAGAATATATTTGGGCGTAAAATTAACGAGCGTAAGTACGCACGTACGTTTTTTACAGTACGAGTTACTCTTAACCTATAACTTTCGTGAATGCTTTTCTGTTGGTTCAATGACAGAGAGTATATGGCCCAGCCTAGTGTAACTGCTTTGTGGCTCAGTGGAAGAGAATCAGAATGCAGAATACAAAAAGGTTCTATTCCTCATGGGAACTTTTTCTCCGCAAAAAGGTTTTTTCAATTAAGCAAATTTTTTCATACCGTATCTGATATGTCTCCGTTTCGCTTGTAAACTCTGAAAGTTTGTCCATCATCGCCATATTGTAGCTTGTATTCGGTAACCCACTGATCGAAATCATGTCTCCCTTGCGTCGCTATGCCCATTACCCTTGTGGTTCGCTGAAGATCCACTTGCAGCCATTGGTTAGTGTTTTTCACTCCAGCTACCCAGCCAGCACGTCTAAGCGGGTTTTCGGATCCTTTAAAATGTAATCTAGCATTCGATGCGGCAACATTATCATTAAACAGGGAGGAAGCGGTGATCTGTGAGTCAAAAATAGCACCACTTTCCATGCCGAGGGGAACTGGGGCTTTTGGTGATTCCGCACCTGAAATTGAGACAGACAAATGCAATCGCACAGACATTGATTTGTTTATCATAGAATAAAGGAGGATTTTGAGAACGGTTGAATAGAAAGAAAAGGAGGATTTTGAAAACGTTTGAATGGAAATTTAAAAGTAAGTGCAGTCTCACCTTCCCACTTTATCTCAAGCATTATAATAAAAAATTTGATAACGATAAAAACTTACACGGGAGTTAAATCTCTCCGACTTACACGTGATGGTCGAAGCTCTACTACAAATGAAAATTCGTACCCAAAACGGGTAAAATTTACTGCGGCACCGATGGAGTATCCAATAGTTTTTGGATCCCTGAAGTTTGCCTTGTCTAATTTCTGGATATGTTTAAATTGCTTCCCATATTGATGACTCAACGCTATCATGTTTTCGCGATGCATTTGGTAGGCACATCGGCATTTGAAATTGTGAATAACGCAGTGAGTGTCCTCGGCTTCTTCAGCAGGTTCTTCTGTCCTTTACCCTTTAGTGCCCAAAATCTCATTACTAATTCTCCTTACTGTCTGCTATACAACTCTTATGATGCTAGTTCTGAGAATTTGGTGCCGGATCAATTAGAAAATCCTCAAACTTATATTCTTCATTATTCTCATCACCTGTCTGATTGATATTGTATGGTTATTGTAAGGAGAAATTATGTCATTGTCACTCATGGGAATTAAAGCCTTGATTTTTACTTTGATTTAGAAGTAACCTAGGCAACATTTTCTTTAGCAATTTTTTTGAGAGCATTCGAGGACTTTCAAGGAAACTGTAAGAATCGAAATGTTTCAAGCAGGTTCGGGGAATGTTTGTGAGGGTCCGCGAAGGTTCGCGAGGACGACAGACTCCGCGCCTATTGGCGGAGAGACAAGAAGCAGCTGAGACAAGTAACTCATTGTAATTTAACCACGAAGTCGTTGACTTTAATCTCAAGAATACCCTTCGAAACCAACGCTACTTACATTTGCAGTTGACGACTTTTAAATCTTCCTTGAAGGCCTGACTGTGGTGCTGAAAACAAAAAAATCATTCATTTTTTATTTTATCGGGAAATCGCTTAGTCTTCCGGGTTCATCACCGAATGGAGACTGCACAAGTGAGCTAATTGAAGGCCTTTAGATACATATTGAAAGTTTTAGCTTCAAGCTAAATTTTATACTGAATTTTGTGTATTAAATCCGTATGACCTACTTTCGGACCACCTGAATTTATTTAAGAACTTTCAACTATTCGCTTCTAAAAGAAGAAGATGAAAAACCACCATTTTACCCGCATACAGGTCAAACTACTTTAGGACCAAACGATAAAAACATTCAAAGAAAAATATGACAGATGGAAAGTTGTCACATCTGTCGTCGAAATATGAAGATTTTATGAGAAACATACCACAAATGAAAGACAAGTGTCTCGAGGAGTCAATAACACCTTCTTCTTGGTCTTTTATCGAGATTTTTTTTGTTACCTTCGTGTCGTAAAATTGGGTGTAAATTGCTTCCTCGTTGTATTCCAATTCGTTTCCTTTCTCAGTAAAGAGAACTCCTCTGTCGTTCAACTCACAGGTTCCCTCACTTTTGAAAACTTTTCTGAAATTTGTTGAAACGCATCGAGGGTCTCTCTGACATAGCAAACCACAGGATATCAGGCTTGCAAGGTGAATTATTTTGAACGTGAAGCCTTTAAGTCGGCGATGATTGTAAGTTATCACAGGACAAGAAAGAGATGCTTCCTTACAAACAAATGCTTGAGAAGCTACGACTTCGAACATTAATAACACGATAAACTCAGCACACAAAGCAAAATTCATTTTGATTTTCTGGTGATGACCTCGTCTAAGGTGTGCGTACTCCTTAGCTTTGTAATTGTGTCGCAGGCGTTTTCATCAGATGTCAACAAGGGGATGATATTGAATAATTTACATAAAATTTGGAGATTTTTATTATTTATCTTACCAATCATAGCCACCGAATCGACTAGCTAATTGAAAGGATGCACTGAAAGCTGGATAACGGTACGATTTCAATTGTTCATTAGATGTTAAAGAAGATGACATTTGCGCGTCAAGTATTAATCTCTTCAGCCATTTCTTTCTGAATGAACAAAGATCTTATTTGATTCAGAGATTTAAAATTAACAATTGGTTCATAAGTCAGCGTGCGTTCATCGAGATGTGAAGCACGCGGGAAGTTTGGAAAGCACGAAAGTGCTCTCCAAACTTCCCTTCAGCGCGTTGATAATTTTGTTTCAGGAAAACATTTCGCTACGCTGTAAACGATCTTGTCTTAGATTGGTCAAAAAACTGACAGGTGAATTCAACTTTATTTTCTGATTGAATACAAAATTCTCGAGGGATTTGTTTGCGACGTCATGAGCGTGCACAATAGGAATATGAAACACGCTCACGCAATTAAATTTGATTAGACAAATTTACGCGCTATGTTATAATAAAAAACGACCCTGCCGTCCGTTAAATTTTTCTAGTTTGTCAGTTGTTATCATATAGACTTTCATGGTAACAATAGACTCCTCGATGTAGTTGTTGAGATATTAATATTGTTATCTACCGTAGAAGTTTCTGAATAAGGTACTTAACCTCTTTAAAAAAACACTCTTTGAAAAAAACACTCTGAAAAAACACTCTTTGAAAAAAACAATTTTCGCAAACAAAATATTCTCAGTTACAACTGAGTCGAAAATTAATGCGATACACACTAGATGCTTTAGAAACTTCTAGACATCAGTTATTATGTCAACAACTGCATCAAGGCTTCTATCGTCGAATATAACATTTAAGTGATAACTGCGAGGGTCATTTATGAAAAAAAAAAAAGAAAAAAAAAAAAAAAAGATGAAGAAAATAAGAAGCTGTCTAACACATTTAAGATTCGTATTTTCCCAATGAAAACTCATTCATAATTTCAAATGCAGTCTGCGCCTGCGCCAACGCTTTTTTTTGGTATTTGGTGGGTCTGAGACGAAGTCGAGATATTTGAGAAAGCTAGAGAATGAGTGGTAGAAATAGGAGAGATCAAACTGTATTAGTTTATATCTATATTTATGTTTGATTGCTGATGAACATGTAGAAAAGCATCAACTTAAGTTCTAGGTTTTTACCTACAAATAATTATTTACAAATAATTTTGTGTAATTCTTGCATAAATCCATTGGTGTATTACCTAAATATAGAGTCACCATGAAATTTCAGCACAATGCTTTTCAAAGTAGACTTAAATTTTCGACTGTTATAATGCCTGTCTTAGTAGAGTATTGAGGCTAAATGATACGCATTGCCTACATGGCTAGCTGCTATGGGAATTGAATTATCAATAGATCTAGAGTGGGTCTGGTTGCGCTACAAAATCTAAGAGCCACCTTAACTTAAAGGTGACTTCATCATCGTCCTGATCTTCTTTATCAATTGTCATCATTGCCTCTAAAATTGGAAAATTTCATAACATTTCAGCTTTCTTTTAATCTCTATTAATGTCATCCACGTCTCTGTGTTAGCATTAGCCTACTAGCTTTCATAAACTATAGAAGCTCACATGAAATGAGTACGAAAGCGATCTTCACAGTAATAAACACTTCTTGAGCAGTAGTGAAAATATGACTTGAAAAAAAATTCAGGCCTGTACGGGATTTGAACCTATGACCTTTGCGATACCGGTGTAGCGCTCTACCAACTGAGCTGACAAAAAGCCAACTGGGAGCTGGTCAGTGTGTTGGTTAAGAATGAACCCATGAAATGATGAATAAATGACCTTTTTCAGGCCTTATTTTCACAACTACTTAAAGCTCATATGGTTTAATAACTATGAAGGCAGGATAAATGTTATCAGTTGAATTTAATTTAACCTATTGTATTGCATTAAATAACATTCTGTTTTGCATATTTAAGTCTAGACTAGCATATTTAATGAAAGTAATGTGTGCATGTCTGAAAATGTGTGCATTGTGAGGTAGTGTAATTTAATTGACGTCAGTGTTTTTTTTACCGCCAATTCATTATTGCGTTCACGAGACTTGAAAGGTTTATCCATCGTCACCATATTGTATCCTGTATAGAGAAAGCCACTGGGTCCTTTTTGCCCGTATCTATGTCTCCATTGTGACGCTTCTCACCGCTACCTTTGTTGTTTGTCCACTTACATTTACAGCCACTGATTGAAATTTGTATCCCGACACATCCACGACCCAGCAATCTTCCCTCCGTCTCTCATTGCTGGCGCGAAAAAAGATCTTGTATTCAGTCAATGCACTGGAAGTCAAGAACAGTACCGCATTATCGACTACTCTCCCGCAAAGAGCCACCAGCGAGAGCAAAGAGCAAATACCTACCCGTTTGAGAAGCTCCGTTTTTCATCCATTCGGGCCTTATTCTCTTTGCGTTAACCTTATGGGAGAGCCAGGTATCGGTCCACTCATACGCACCCACTACCCGGTCGGTGTCGTTTTGTGACAGAGCAGAAGCAACGACCCTCTCATGGGAGAGCATAATATATTTGAATAAAGGGGTGAGTCTCTAAAGAAACTGTGTTGCTGCGTCGGTGAAAAAGTATAACAACTTAATTTTGTTTTATTGACTGAGTTGATAATGTAATTTGGCCACCGTAAAGAGTTTCCAAGGCGACGTTTCAAGCGTTAGCACTTCGTCTCTCACTCTGACGAAGGGCTAACGCTGGAATGTCAGCTTTGAAACTCTTACTGTTGCAAATTTACGTTATCAACTCAGTTGATAAAACCTTAGTACCTTATCATTTATCTGATCAGACGAAGTGGCTAAGCTTTGTTATTATATCGCTGGCAGTGCCCGTGGGCAGTATGAAGTGAATCCTGTTCTCTGATTGGCTATCTAAGCGGGCAAGATGGCCCATCACGATCTTGGCGATGTAGTCGCAAAAAAACTCGGCAGAGGGAGGTTAAAACAAAGAAAACATAAACAACTCACCCGCTTTTGCTTTACTACAAACACAGTTGGCCTTCTCGTCCGGTTCTCTCAAAAAAACAAAAGTCAATCTTGATTCGTAAGACGGCCAAACCTTTTTATAACAAATCCTTAATTGACCAAGCTTGATCAGTCAAGATGGCTGGATATAAGACTCGTTCTTTCTTTCCCGCTTTTACGGACCTCGACTTCGTTTCGGTTCATAAAAAAGCAAAAATGGAACTCGGCTTATATCCCGCCAACTTGACCTCACGCTTGGTCAATAACGCATGTATATTTGAACCCTGTAGTAAGACCAATATATTAGTCAGACGGCTGCGCATGCGCACTTAATTTCAAGCAACTTGAATAAATTGCCATTGCAGACACGTTGAAGCCTAAGTGCGGCATATTTTTTTGTGCAGTTTTGTAAAGAAAGTCAGTTTTTAAAGAAAGTTCGAACTTTGTAAGACTAAGTCTTATATACGTTGTTTTATACTCTCCCTACTTTGTGCTAGTTTACACACTTATCTATTATTATTAATTTTTTTTACGCTTTCCACGGCGGCACAATTTTAAGTCGCTCGAAAGCTTGGTCGTGCTGGCGGTAGTAGTTTTTCCATAGTGGAGTTGCCGGTAAACACCGAGGGAAATGTGTGAGAAAGGGAAGAACCAGAGCTACAAAAGATACTTATGAGGATAGCAGGTCTATTGTTTTCTCTCACAGTAGACGAGGAAGAACTGCAGGGCTAGAGAAAGGTTCTCTCATTTGCTTTTATAACCGAAAAGAAGCGTCTGCGTTAAAAACTGTTGGGATATGTCACAATAAAACACAAAACAAAACAAAACAAAAACAATAAGATTTTGACTCCAAAATTCTTCCTATGTATTGGAGTATTTGGAATTCTAAGCTTTTTCCTGTCACTGTATATTAGACGTGCGTTAATAAACCTGTATTATCATTTAAAAAGTCCTGTGCCAGCGCAGTACTTGAAAAAACGTTTTAAAAGTATAAAACACCTTGTGATTTTACAGTATGCACCAAATCGGGAAATTCGTCCACTAAACTGAAACCAATTTAAGTTTTGGGAATAGCCTGACATTTCTAGAAAAACATGTGATACTGTTAAGAAGTTTGAAAGAACCTTTCACAACACGATAAGTTCAGCAAAAAGAGTAAATTCATTTTGATCTTTTGATGATGACCTCCTCAAAGGTATGTATACTCCTGAGCTTTGTAATTGTGTCGCAGGCGTTTTCATCAGACACAATACTAGCTTAGTATTGCATCAATAAAATATTTGAGCTGACCAAGTCCTGTACTTGGGCGATTTCAAAATGGATGTAATAAAGTGGTAATTGAACCTTGTACCGTGTAATTTTGGTCTGAAATCATACTTGTAATTTCAAATCGAAGTCGCGCTGTGTGCTAATGCAATACTAAGCTAGTTTGAAATTAAATTCATCCATTTTTGGGGGGGAAAAACAAGAGTTTTGAAAACAAAGGTTGCAAAATTTGCCACATGATACTCTTTATCTTTCATTTTCCTGCAATTACATTGGTTATTTTAAATAAGCTTTGAAATCTGATTGGTTGTTTTGTTTTCAGTGTAGCCTCCTCGTTGGCTGGGAAAATGATGCGATTTAAAGCAAAAAATGGTAAATCGCACCAATTAGGGCCAATCAGATTACAGGGACCACCAGTGATTTCAAAATGGGTGTAATAAACTAGAGAAATTTAACGGGCGGCAGAGGTCTTTTTATATTATTAATCCCTGAGTCAAATAAGATCTTTGTTCATTCAGACAAAAATTTCTTACGAGATTTACACTTGACACAGAAAT